GGTGGCGGCGGCGGCGGCGGCGGCGGCGGTGGTGGTGGTGGTGGTGGCGTAGGTAGGCAGCGTCCGGTCCACGGGCGGCGCGGCGGCGCGTTTTCAAAAATATTGATATATCCGTCCAAGGCCCCCTGCCCCTCCCTGCCGCCGCGACGTCGCAGACGTCAGACGGATCCTGATTTGGCGAGAGGCGTCGCTTCCCCCCCCCCTTCTCCCTCCCTCCAGACTGGAGCCGAAAGGGCCATTCACACAGACGCATTAACATTAACGCGGCTACGTAAACAAATGACTTGCGCACAAAATCCGCGTTGTCCTTCGCAACTGGTAACTGCGCGCGAAAGTCAGAGCAAAAACGACTGACACACGGAATTAAACCGACCATTGGCGCGTAATAAAAAATCAAAAGTTTGAGAGATAATAGTCTTCTTAACAACGATAATTTTGAAATAAAATAATTAATTTATTGTCAAATGAATATCTTTTAACTTCTTTCGTTAGAATGGTAGTCAAGGGCCTTTTTTATATATCCAATGACATAAATACGAACTTAAACGCGAAATCTTGGAGCTTGTAAGAGCCTGTATGCGCGTCTGTCAAAGCTATGTTCATTGCTACGCGTCCAATTATGCTAGTGTTAATGAAAATAGATCAAACTAAACAACCTGTTTGCAAACTTTCTATATTCTCTTGTTTCCTGGAATTTGTACGTGCATTCTGCTGAGAGTAATTCACTATTTATGTGCCATTTTACCCGTCAGTAGCGTTTACATCTTAAATTTATGCTTACGTTTAAGTTCATAGTTGATTAATGTTTCTTCGTGAGTGGCTGAAGGCGTGTTTTCGTGCGATTGAAAATAAATTACGAGACGAGCGTTTGATTTCTTATTCTACACCTCGGAATAATCGTCTGACTGACTACTTGTTGATGTTGTTAATTTCCGTTTAACGGAAGAGAATTTGCGTGATATGGAACTGAGTTGAAATTAAACGTTATTTGCTATACTTTTTTACCATGGAATTGGCATGATGTGGATTGAAAGCATGTAGTAAGAGTTGAATGTTAGTGAAGTAAAGTATGTTTGGATTGAAGCTACATGTTTGTTCATTTTTTAATGCTATTGAAATACCTGGGCGCCACGTGAATTACATTCTTGAGTAATTTTTCTGTTTCGTTTAACATTCGCGGTTTCATGTGATTACGTGGATGATTTCAATCTACTGGTAAGTTACTGTACGAGATAATATTGATATTTTTGGAATACATTTTGTGAATTAATACGAATAAATGTCATATCCCTTTAAAAATGATCTTGAAGTATATGTAATATTGTTTCCATGTGCCATGGAAAAGTAGGGATTTCCCGACTTTCAATACACGAATAACATATTGCTTTTAAAAATGGTACACACGTTAACCACACTTTCAGTTAAAAATAAACAATATTTTCATTTTTTTTTCTTTTCATCAGTTGTCCTTTACATGGAATGGTACTCTTCAGTTACCACGTGAATACATCACAAGTGAAAGCATTTTTTTTTTAAATGGTGGATTTCAAAAAAATTGAATGTAGAGATGGTTTCAGCCGCTACTCACTACTCCTGTCATGTTCTGGCGTGTCGGTCTGTAGAACCCACCTAATAAGGCCATGCGGGAGGAAGCCGGTGCAAATGGGCCAGGGCAAGGCTATGAATAAGCGCATCCTCGTGTACTTTCTTTCCTGCTGCCCTTTTTCGCTTCTTCTTTTCTTTTGCGCGTACTCGTCCCAGCCTTGCCTTGCGCCTGCTTCCGACGTGGGCGGGGCGGCACTGACAGACGCAGAACTGCTGTCGCCCGCCCCGCCTTGCCTTGCCTCGTCCAGCCCCGCTCCGCCCCGCCCTGCGGTGGTCAGCCCTACTTTGCCTCGCTAATTTCCTCCCCCGCCCCCTGCCAGCCCCGCGCTGCCATGCCCGGATTCTCTGTTCCGCCCCTCTCAGCTCGTCCGCTCCTCCCCTCTCCATTTCGTCTCCGACCCTTACCCGCCCCGGCCCTTACCCGCTCCGACCCTTACCAGCTTCGATCCTTAACCGCCTCCACCTTTAACCGCCGCCACCCTTACTCACTCCGACCCTTACCCGCTCCGACCCTTACCCGCTCCGACCCTTACCCGCTCCGACCCTTACCCGCTCCGACCCTTAACCACTTCGTTCTTCAACTGAAGTACATTCCTTGTTTCAAACGTATTTATACTTTTTTAAATTATATAGTACTAGCCTTAAATAACGCATTATAAATGTTTGTTGAAATAAATATTATTTTTCTTTTTGTTGTTCGGTGTAGTCTCTAATAGTATAGAAACAGTTATGCAGCATAAAAAATGAACTTGGCATCTAAACTTGTGTACAAATTTTAATTATTTAATGCCTCTCATTTGGCAGTTGTAAAATAAAGCGTCGAATCTTTCGGGCGCCACCGACAAGAAAAAAGAGCGTCGTGTTCGCAGGTGTGCCCGCAGGGCTCAGGTAGTCGTTTTGGAACAAACTGTACGCTGCGCCTAATTTCCTTCTGCTTGACGTCTGAGAGTAAGCTATGCATCTCCAGTCCGGGCCGCGGCATCCAAAACCAATACTTTTCAAATCCAAACCTTCCGAAATATACACTAAGGAAAAGCGCCCTGGTTTATTTCTAAATCCCAGCTCCATCATTAACCGAAAATCACCCCGTCACAATGCGTGTCCTCTTCTATCCGCGAAATTCAATGCGTTTCCTCTTCTATCCGCGAAATTATATAGCAAACTTTGTTGAACACTATCAGCTACCCTCTCCGAACTCGTAAAACAGAACCCTCATCGGACACCTTTGAAAAGAAATCTTCCCAAGGGATTTTTGTCCCTCCTTAAGCAGACTGGACATACTTTTCGTATAATATAATGTGCTTGTGAATTAAAATATATAATCATGTAAACTTACTCTACGTAAATCAACCAATGTGTCAATCGTATTCGGTTGCCGAGGGCCACCGGCCAAGAAAGAACTTTTTTTTTAAAGTTTGGCAGTCACGTGATAAAGCAAACTGGTCTCCTAGTGACACCCTACAGCTACAGCGTTTCCAATCACGTTAGTTACTCATGTTGTAAAAAAACTCTGAATGAATAAATTAAGGGGATAATAGCTTATCAGCTGCCAATTCCACCTCATTTAAAGTATCCAAACAGTGTAGACAGCGGACTGGGAAAAATTAAAAACATAGATCAGAAATCTGGTACTCGCTCTACTACACTGCCCCCGAAAGTTTCTTTAGCGCGAAGTGGTCGAGGTGCCTCAAGAACTGATGTGACTACTGTGCTTCAGACCTGGAAGACCTAGGATTCGAGTCCCGAGGGTGGCAGGATTTTCGACACTAACTAGAGATCTGGGTCGAGTTCAACTGCTATCTGGAGGAGAACTCTAGCGGCCGGCTGCTCCGAGTTTTCCGTGGTTTCTTCGATCAGTTCCGGGCGAAAGCCGAAGTAATTTCCTCACAAACGGAGTACAAACCACGCGCGACTTTCCCATCATCTTCCCTGGCCTATCGATTGATTATTAGTGTTTCCGGGCACGGCAACTACTAGGGTCATTAGTCTTGTAATTGTACTGATGGTTTGCTCCAGAAGAAGAGGAGGTGGTGGTAGTCGTGGTTGTGGTGGTGGTGGTGGTGGTGGTGGTTGGTGGTGGTGGTGGTTGGTGGTGTCCCCCGCTATGTGGCGAGAACAGGTGTCGTCAGCTAGCGGCGTTTTTCTAAACCAGTTATCTCCCACCAGCAGGCGCCACCACAGCGGAGATATTCCTTGTCCTATCCTCTCCCCCTTACCTCACAATCTCACAGTCGGGAGACCAGTCAAGAGCTTACAGCTTCTCCCAGGTGTGTGTGTGTGTCGGGGGGGGGGTAGTAATCCACATGACAAGTGAAGACACGTGGCTGGTGAAAACCCCGTTAGCTGACGAGTAGGTCGGCACGTAATCTCACTATCGAGCTTGGGCAGAACACCGCCACTTCCCAGAGGCGGGTTTACGCGACAGGAATAATGACCATAGCAGACGATGCGCCCGGAAAACCCGAAGTGATCAATGTTTATACACCACGCACGTGGCAAATGTGTGGCAACGCTGCCCGACCCCCATGTTGACCCCCAACGAGACCCAACTGTTGTCCATCGCAAAGCGCAGAATGGCACAACGTAGTATAGGCTCGGGCGTCCAAGCGCCCGTGAATCTTGACCGGGGGCAGGCCGCGTCCAGTGGTTTGGCCGGGTGACGTAACGCCCTTCCTCTCCGCCAGTCGACGGACCAGTGTGTGCGGGGCGGGGCGGGGCGGGGCGGGGCG